TGGCCGAAAGGCCGTTAAAGGGGGCTGTATCTGCCTAGTCAGCAGGTTAAACCACACTGACCATTGCCAAAGCCCCGACAAGTGGGGGCGCTTTGGCGAATCTCGATCGCTCATGCGATTGCGAAACTTGTTTGGACCAGGCTGGCTCGAAACCCTTTAGTGAAATCTGACGACTAGTGTAACAACCTTCGCGGCTGCTCTTGACTCATAGTGTCGTGACTGCAGAAGCCCAAATTCCAGTTCGGTGCTCGTCCCCCAAATTATCCCTAGTGCCACACGCATCTTGAGGTCGTCAAAGTCCTAGCCATGGCTCTACCGTGTTTAGATGGTAAGCTGGCCTTTCAGCCGATTTCTATGCCCTTTCCCTACGGCGGAGGCTGGCTCGACATAAACGTGGAACACGCCGACAGGCTACGACCCGGTGAATGGGTCAGCGGGATCGTAATTGATTGGCTCGGTGTGTGAGTATCACGGTTAGGAAATCATAAGGCCAGATTCGTCACGGTTATCTCATGCGTTTCCTTTGTCGCAAATACGCGCGTGCGAAGGATGCTGCAGTACGAACACGGTCGCGACCGCAACAAATGGCTTTACAGTGGATCATATTTCTGGGAATATGCTAAGAAGGACATTTCGCGGCGTGAAAACGCCTATACTTTCGGCCTGGGTATTTTCGATTTCACATATGTACTCGTTCCGATAAATACCGAGTGAGTAGTCGTCGCGTCTAGCCGTAGCACCATATGTATTTCGGTAGTCTAACGTCGGCGTTACTGATGTTAGACCTCATGTGTGCCTTAGGAGTCACTGGAGCCTGATCGTGATCGAGCGCATCCCGAGGCCCGACGACCCGATTCCCATGAACTGCGTGCTCTGGCACGCTGGCTCGTACGGCACGCATGCCGGTGTCGACGCCCCGTTGCGAAGGTACTCTCTTTTTAATGGCAGTCTGCTATTGTCACGTACAGAAGTTCGGGGTTAGGATAGCATTGAATCTATGTCTCCCGGTGTGCATGTACTTACGAAACGAGGTGATAAGATACTGTGCATGGATCACTGAGTCGGACGCAGATGCATGGGCGGCGAGCATCCTACTAAGGCAGGTCACGGTGAGTGCTGTTGCCTTGTGTGTACGAGCTTTGAAACAATCGCATCTCCCTTTCCCTGCACGCAATTTCCACACCGAAACCCCACTCCCGTCCCGGCCCTCACCACGCGCTCACGCACCCTGTGATTGTCCAGATACCCATGCAGGCAAATGAGAACGACTGTTGTGTGTTCACGATGCGTGTGATGCACACGTTGGTCGAGGATGGTTTCCATAAACTACCGGCATGTGAGCTTGTAGGGACGCCACTCCATTGGCGCCGTCAGTACCGTCACGATTTGAGGAAGTGGTCTGTGTATTTTCGGGCAAAAACAATGTTGGAGGTTGGAGGTGGGGCATGGGGCGGTGAAAAGCTGGTAATGGGGCGGGTAGCAAGCGAGAATGAGGCGGGAAGCATGGGGGAATGAGGCCCGAAGCAAGGGGGAATGGGGCCTGAAGCAAGGGAGAATGAGGCGGGTAGCAGTGAAGAATGGGGTGGGAAGCAAGGGGAAATGGGGTGGGTAGCAGGGGGGAATGAGGCCGGAAGCGAGGGGACATGAGGCGGGAAGCAGAGGGAATGAGGGGGGTCGCAAGGGAGAATGAGGCGGGAAGCAAGGTGGACGCGGCTCTGAAGCAAGGGGGAATGAGGGAGGTAGCAAGGGAGTATGAGGCCCGAAGCAAGGGGGAATGAGGCCTGAAGCAAGGGGGAATGGGGAGGGTAGCAAGGGAGAATGAGGAGGGTAGCAGTGAAGAATGGGGTGGGAAGCAAGGGGGAATGGGGTGGGTAGCAAGGGGGGATGAGGCCGGAAGCGAGGGGACATGAGGCGGGAAGCAAAGGGGAATGAGGGGGGTAGCAAGGGAGAATGGGGAGGGAAGCAAGGGGGATTGGGGCCTGAAGCAAGGGGGAATGAGGGAGGTAGCAAGGGAGTATGAGGCCCGAAGCAAGGGGGAATGAGGCCTGAAGCAAGGGAGAATGAGGCCTGAAGCAAGGGGGAATGGGGAGGGTATCAAGGGAGAATGAGGAGGGTAGCAGTGAAGAATGGGGTGGGAAGCAAGGGGGAATGGGGTGGGTAGCAGGGGGGGAATGAGGCCGGAAGCGAGGGGACATGAGGCGGGAAGCAGAGGGAATGAGGGGGGTAGCAAGGGAGAATGAGGCGGGAAGCAAGGGGGACGCGGCTCTGAAGCAAGGGGGAATGAGGGAGGTAGCAAGGGAGTATGAGGCCCAAAGCAAGGGGGAATGAGGCCTGAAGCAAGGGGGAATGGGGAGGGTATCAAGGGAGAATGAGGAGGGTCGCAGTGAAGAATGGGGTGGGAAGCAAGGGGGAATGGGGTGGGTAGCAAGGGGGGATGAGGCCGGAAGCGAGGGGACATGAGGCGGGAAGCAGAGGTAATGAGGCGGGAAGCAGGAGGGAGTGAGGCGGGTACGTGGGAGGAATAACTGTGTGAGTGAAGAACAAGGAAGCGGGTAGCATGGGGGAATGAGGACAAGATCAATAGGGAATTGTTTGTTCATCCGTCCTGCCAGCTTGATATGCCAACAAACATGACACAAAGCACAATGGAGAGGCCTTGAATCAGTCCTGCATGACTTGACAACAAGTGTGGCCAAATGAGAGTGTTGGCCACAACCAGTCCTCCATGTCTAGAGAACACTACCCGTAGGGAAGTGTTTGTCACTGGCGTTCCTGCTTGACATGTATACAAACAATACACAATGGGTCAGTATGATGCTGCAAAACATACCTGCATGTCCCCACAACTCTAGTGGGTAGAACAGCAGGGGTTTCTCAACTCCGTTCCAGCATGAACCTAGAACATACAACACAGCATGCTCTTGGGTCCCTGCATAAAGGTTGTCCTGTATGGCATGAGAGCAGCCATGCCCCATACGGGGAGTTTGTGTCTGGCTCTATTATTATTGCACCTCAATTGGCATGAGAGGAGACATGCCCATACGCGTTGCATAACAACCAGGCAGCAATCAAATAATGCATACTTACTAATCAATCGATGTATCAGAATGACTGCTCCACCGCAGACGGTTATGTGCATGTTCTGTGAAGGTGGTGTTTGGTTTTACACTGTTATGTTGCATACTTGTCACTATGCTAATGGGTTGGGGGGACTCCTGTTACGAGTGCAATTGAGAAAGCGAATGAGGATTGCACTATCGGGAAAAAAGTACAACTGAGCGAAGGTATGAGCAAAAGGTTATATAGCGAAACCACAGTGGTAACGGTAATGGACTGTGGTTGTCACGCGACGGGCCTGGGACTGAGGTTGGGAAATTGTCGAGGCGAAGGTCCGGAGCGCGGGTTACCGCCGAACCGTGAGGTCGGGGTGCGACGTGCGAAAGTGGCGGGCGGATTGTCTATGCGAGTGGTAACGGTGCTGACTGAGGTGCTACAGTGATGTACGCGTTGAGCAGGGATGTGAAGTAAGGAAAACGAGATTTTCCTTACAACTCCATAACCCTCTAATTCTATTTTTATCATATACGTACACCACAGTATTGAGGCTTTGCAAACTAATGCGCCATTACGTGCCCCGCCTTGCGCCATTCCACTCGACTCCACGCTATGCCACGTACGCGAATCTCCCTGATTTGCGAACCAGTCACAACCACACACAAGGAACTTTTGAGTCTGCGTTTTTATCGCAGGCGTGCCGCAACGGCTTCGTGTCGACCTGTCGCATCGCTGTACGACTTGCTGCGATCGAGCGTCGCCGTTTCTCCGCAGACCCTATGTGACTCTTGACGTGCAGCTTGTGTAGGTTTGTGTGGCACGCGAGGCACTTCATTGTAAACAGTGCGACAACCCGGGCAGAATAATTATGACCCTCGCAAACCCAGATACAGTAGCGCATTTGACTGTCAAGTTTAACAAAAAGAAGCCCACCCTGCCGCTTGTGGACTGATACTCAATTAAGCACGTTAGGTCCCACGGAATCTTAATACGGCAGTGCTGCATTTTTTTCCTTTATACACCTCAACCACCAGGCGATTGGTTGTTGGCGGAAAAGGGGGACCTGGCAGTCGCAATGTGCACCATAGCAGGAAACACTCAAACCCTCATCACCTCCGTGCTCCCCTTGCATGCCTCCAGCTGTGACGATCGTCTGCTCTAGGCCCCAGACTTTGCGTCGTCCCTCTCCCTCCTCAACCAATTTTTTATGCTCGTAGACTGCTGTCAGGTTCTTCGCGGTAGCACAACCCGCAACCTCATAGTACTGCGTGAATGGAAAGCTAGACATCGTAACAAGGAAGTCAGACAATGAAGGGGCCCGAGGGGGTGATCGTACTGGCTGATTCGACTAAAACCCCCGACGAAACAAATTTTGCGGAGTTAGTAACAGCAGATAAGACGGCCGAGATCATAAAAGAGTATCGCAAAAATAATGCGTCGCCGGCGCGAGATGTTGTTGATTCCAGACGTGTCTCGTCATCCTGGTGACAGGGCATATCATCCCCTCCGAAACCAAGGGATAAGCGCGTGAAGCGCTTAGATGATCTCGTTCCCAAAGGCGGCCAGAAAGGTACGTATTTATGGTCGCAGATGCAGAATATTCTACTTGTATGCATGAAACGATGCTTGTAGTCGTGTCTGACCTGTTGGAGGTTATCGTCTCTCCAATTGTGTTTCCACATCACCGTCAGCGGACAAGCGTGACAACCGGGGGAGGCGTAAGCACCGTCCAAGAAAAAGAGGCACTCGTTCACATCGTGAGGAAACGCCTGCGTTTGAAGGCGACGAGGAGGGCAAAGACGGGGGACCTGACAGCTTAGGTACGCTGTGGGTGTGATATCGACGGTTTATATTTTGCACGTTACTCATTACAATGACGCCGCATGTCATGTTGCAACTTCCAGCCAATAAGATAATGTGTGCACAGTATTTCTTATGTACTTGTAATGTCCGCCTTTGCAGATGGGACGGCAGGCCAACGTGCTCGTGGTGGCGGAAAGCGCAACGGCGGCAGGGCTGCCGCGGCCAAGGGCAGTCCCTCGGGCAGGCAGTCGCAGGATGCGGATGGGGGCGACGAGGGGGATCATGCCGAGCCGGTCACTACCCGTGGTGGCGGAAAGCGCAACGGCGGCAGGACTGCCGCGGCTAAGGCCGATCCCTCGGGCAGGCCGGCGCAGGATGCGGATGGAGGCGACGAGGGGGATCATGCTGGGCCGGAAGCTCGTGGTGGCGGAAAGCGCATCGGCGGCAGGGCTGCCGCGACCAAGGGCGGTCCCTCGAGCTCGCAGGATGCGGATGGTGGCGACGAGAAGGATCATCCCGAGCCGGAAGCTCGTGGTGGCGGCATGCGCAACGGCGGCAGGGCTGCCGCGGCTAAGGGCGGTCCCTCGGGCAGGCAGACGCAGGATGCGGATGGTGGCGACGAGAAGGATCATGCCGAGCCGGAAGCTCGTGGTGGCGGCATGCGCAACGGCGGCAGGGCTGCCGCGGCTAAGGCCGATCCCTCGGGCAGGCCGTCGCAGGATGCGGATGGAGGCGACGAGGGGGATCATGCCGAGCCGGAAGCTCGTGGTGGCGGCATGCGCAACGGCGGTAGGGCTGCCGCGGCCAAGGGCGGTCCCTCGGGCTCGCAGGATGCGGATGGTGGCGACGAGAAGGATCATGCCGAGCCGGAAGCTCGTGGTGGCGGCATGCGCAACGGCGGCAGGGCTGCCGCGGCTAAGGGCGGTCCCTCGGGCAGGCACTCGCAGGATGCGGATGGTGGCGACGAGAAGGATCATGCCGTGCCTGCATGCCGTGGCGTTAACGATCATGATGAGGACGAGCCAGCAGCAGTGACTGATGGGAAAGGCGGACGTGAAGCTGTGATTCCGTACCAACGGCGCAAGGCTGTGGATCCGGGCAGTTGCGACCATAAGGCGAGACAAGCTCGGCACGGCCCCAATGTGCACGTTTCGAGCTCGTCTGGTTCCGAGGAAGATTCGAGCGACAGTGAGTCGGGCAGCTCATCCGGGAGTGAGGAGGTATACGAGGACGAGGATGAGGAGGAGGAGGACGAGGATGATGAGGAGTTGGAGCCGGAGAGCGAGGATGGGGAGGAGGCTCGGCCTTTGAAGAGGAGGAGTGTGCGGAAGCTCAAGAAGGGCAACGCTAAGCAAAAATCGGAGAGGGGACGGGTGAAGAGCTGTAAACAGAGTGTGCGTCGTGCCAAACCACATGGCAAGCGCCAGAGACCTCGATTCGAAGCTAAAATTGTGGGTGTTCGTAGCAAGGCGAAGCGGGAGTTGAATTTTTACGAGTCCATGGGGATACGATGTACATCAAGCTCTCATGATCGGCAAGCCGCGGACCCGTACGCTGCGTTACGCGATCCGATGGGTTCGGCTGGGAAGGGAGATCCGATGGCTTGGGGGTCAGCGCGGTCCGGCACGGAAGCGACGGACCCGCCCCCCAGCCATATGGGGGGTCGCGCGGTTCATGTGAAAAACGAGGGGGCAACGAAGCGGCACGAACCCTCGGCAGCTGCAGCAGCGAATGACGGTGTGGGAGGAGGTGTGTGGGCGAATGCCTTGGGTGAATGTGGCGGCGGTGTGGAAGGCTCCATGTGGGATGTACGGGAGAGCAAGGGAGAAGGGGGGGACGAGAAAATGGATCCGGCGACTAAGGAGGGGAGGGGAGAGAGCATGGGCACACCTGGCGCATCCAGTCGGCCGGATGTGGCTGGCGGCAGGACTGTGGAGCAGCTCATGCGAGAGCTTGCCCAGCGGGATCGCGAAATCGCTGCACTCAAGGCAAGGCCAGGATCAGAAGGACCTGTCAAGCCCTGCACCCCTCCATCTAGGCCTCCTCCTCTAGCATCTCTGTCAAGCGGCCCATCTGTAGGGGGCCTCGATCCAGGCGTGGCGCCAGAAAGCCCAGCGACGGTAGACGTACCGGTCCGTCGAACGCGTGGGATGCCCACACCCAAGCTGCTGAAGGTGAGATTGTTTTAGTGTTAAACAATGTGTGGCATGGGGCTTAGTGATAGCTGCAGCTCTCTCTCTCAACCCCTCTTGCTGCTGGTAAGCGTGTTTGTGGCATTATGCGCAGTGATCGCAGCATGTCTGCAGTGGGATAGGCATTCCCAGTACGCCTTGCTTCAGGGACGTGGCGCTGGGCGTACGATGCTCTCACATTCTGCCCCCGACCCCTAGCTCCCCATAGCAGTTATCCATCCTCCATTGGCCCCTCTCTTCCATCCCTTCCCACCCTAAACCAGAGCCCCTGTTCATGGTGCTGGTGCTGGTGTGGGTGGCACGCGGCGCAAGGATAGCTCATTGTAGCAGTTATCCTTCCTATCCCTCCCCCCTCTCTCCCATCCCTCGCCTAGCTCTTCCAGAGCCCCTGTTCCTGGTGCTGGTGGTGGTGTGGGTGTCATGCGGCGGAGGGATAGCTAAGAATAGCAGTTATCCTTCATCTCACTTCCCTCTCTCTCCCATCCCTCCCCTCCCTCTGCGAGAGCCCCTGTTGATGGTGCTGGGGGTGGTGTGGGTGTCATGCGGCGGAGGGATAGCTAAGCATAGCAGTTATCCTTCATCTCACTCCTCTCTCTCTCCCATCCCTCCCCTCCCTCTGCGAGAGCCCCTGTTCATGGTGCTGGTGGTGGTGTGGGTGTCATGCGGCGGAGGGAATAGAGGAAGCCGTATCCGTCAACCCCACGCGGCCCCCTTTCTGTCCGCCGCTCCTCCCTCCCCTCTCTATCCCGTCCCTCTCCCTCCTCGTCCAGAGCCACTGTAAAAGGTGCTGCTGGTCACGCGTGTGGCATGCGGCGTAGCGTGCAGGGGGGTGGCTGCAGTGGAAGTTGAGACTCCTCGTACGAGGAGAACATGAACCCTCGCGCTGGGCGTACGGTGCCCTCTCACTCTACCTACTCTCCCGACTTTCGCTCTGACTATTTAATCCCCTCTCTCTCCCCTCTCACTCTACCATCGCTCCCCTACCTCAACCAGAGCTCATGTTCATGGTGCTGGTGGTGGGGTGGGTGTCATGCGGCGGAGTGATCGTAAATCGCAGCAGTTATCCTTCCCATCCCTCCCCCCTCTCTCCCATCCCTCCCCTCCCTCTGCGAGAGCCCATGTTCATGGTGCTGGGGGTGGTGTGGGTGTCATGCGGCGGAGGGATAGCTAAGCATAGCAGTCATCCTTCATCTCACTCCCCTCTCTCTCCCATCCCTCCCCTCCCTCTGCGAGAGCCCATGTTCATGGTGCTGGGGGTGGTGTGGGTGTCATGCGGCGGAGGGATAGCTAAGCATAGCAGTCATCCTTCATCTCACTCCCCTCTCTCTCCCATCCCTCCCCTCCCTCTGCGAGAGCCCCTGTTCATGGTGCTGGGGGTGGTGTGGGTGTCATGCGGCGCAAGGAATAGAGGAAGCCGTATCCGTCAACCCCACGCGGCCCCCTTTCTGTCCGCCGCTCCTCCCTCCCCTCTCTATCCCGTCCCTCTCCCTCCTCGTCCAGAGCCACTGTAAAAGGTGCTGCTGGTCACGCGTGTGGCATGCGGCGTAGCGTGCAGGGGGGTGGCTGCAGTGGAAGTTGAGACTCCTCGTACGAGGAGAACATGAACCCTCGCGCTGGGCATACGGTGCCCTCTCACTCTGCCTACTCTCCCGTCTTTCGCTCTGACTATTTTATCCCCTCTCTCTCCCCTCTCACTCTACCATCGCTCCCCTACCTCAACCAGAGCTCCTGTTCATGGTGCTGGTGGTGGGGTGGGTGTCATGCGGCGGAGTGATAGCTCACCATAGCAGCTATCCTTCCTCTCCCTGCATCCTCTCTCCCATCCCTCCCCCACCTCTTCCAAAGCCCATGTTCATGGTGCTGTTGTTGGTATGGGAGCCATGCGGCACAGTGATGGCAACAGCCCTCTCTCTCAACCTCTGAATTCCGCCCTTCATTCGGAGGCATCACTCAATTTTACGTTTCCAATCCACCCGTCCGTCATAGGTGCATTTCGCCGTGGGGCGGGACCGGATGTGCCTAGAATGGCCAGACGATGCCATAGACTTCTACCCAACGCTCGAACAGCGCCTTCAGGTTTTGTATCAGGTTATCAGCGAGACGCACATAATTAAGCTGATGCAGCTGCGAGAGGCTATGGAAGACAAAATCATCGTCGACGGCTTCAAACGCGCTTGGACGTCATGGAAGAACGATCGTGGCTTCCACCTCAAGCGCAGAGTGCTTGTAACTTTCGGCAAGAAGGTGCAAGGCCTGCGTGCAGCCGATCTCTGGATGGGCACCAAGAAGAAGAAGAAGATGTGGAGAAAATACCAACCGAGTGAGTACGCGCGTTTCTGTTTTACTTCACCATTCATTTCATCTGCTCGTGCACCCCTCGTGACGATGATGAACAACTTACCCTAATGCATCCCCACTGTGGCACGCAACTACATACCTGCTCTCCTTGCCCAGCCTTGTAGCGCATGTGCAGTCACATCCGCATGACAGCTTAACGTTGGTTCTTCTGCCACTCTCCCCTTCTCCCGCCCCCCCTTAAATCTACAGCTCTCCCCTTCCCTCCCGCCATCCCGTTCTCTCCCTCCCTCCATTTCTCTTCAGCCCTCCCCTTCTATCCCGCCCTCCATGTCTCTCCTGCCCTCCCCCTCTCTCCTGCCCTCCCCCTCTCCCCTGCCCTCCCCTTCTCTCCTGCCCTCCCCTTCTCTCCCGCCCTTCCCTGCTCTACTGCCCTCCAGCCAACCCTCCATTCATTCTATACCGCCCTCCACTTCGTCCATACCCTTTGGACAACCCCTAACCATGTCGTGCATGATCTTCGTCCCCGCCTTGTCCTGCGTGCGCGCAAGAGGGAATCAGCGGGTCAGCTCGTGGGGAAACAGCAGAGACGGGCTCCCGTTTGCCAACGGCCGGTTTGTAGATGCGGTCCGGGAAGCATTTCGGAATCTCTGTGTCGGGCGCCGGGTGTGCGTCAAAGCCTACCACATTGCCTGGTCAATCATGGTGGTAAGGCATTATTGCTCTCCCGTCCGTTCGCTCTAGCTTTGCTTGCAACTCTTGCCCGCCAGACTGGAATGTGGGGCTATTTGCGCAGCCCGTGAACTCTACACGCGAGTGTCCACATATGTCTCTATTTCCCCTCTTTCCCATACTTTGCTACGCTTTTTCAGATTGACCAGGGCTTGGCAAAGGTTAAGAAGACCGACTGGAACGTCTCGAACTCCCACCGCAAGAACACCGAGTGGATGACGGGTTTGCACCGAAATGTGCGGTGGATTATCAAGGACCACTTCACACGCCACACCCCCGTGTACAACACAGTCGTGCAGGGCTTCAAGTGGGGCGACCGTGGCCTGTATGTTCACGAGTCAGGATTTGAGGCGTTCAAGGGGACGGCCGCGCCTGACGAGGAGAAGAAGGACTTGAAGGAGGAAGAGCAGGAGGTTTACGACGCGGAGGACTTGAAGACGGATGACGAGGAGGATGACGAGGATCAGGAGGAGGAGGAGGAGGAGGAGGAGGAGGAGGAGGAGGAGGAGGAGGAGGAGGAGGAGGAGGAGGAGGAGGAGGAGGAGGATGAGGAGGAGGAGGAACAGTGGGGGCAGGAGCGGAGGAAGAGCAAAAGGCACAAGAGATGCAAAAGCAGGGGAGGCAAGAGGGATGAGCAAGAGGATGAGGAGGAGGAAGAGGAGGAGGATGTGAAACGGGGGGGGGGCGGGAGATTAGGAAGGGCAGAAGGCAGAAGAGAGGGAAACTCAGGGGAGGCAAGGGGGAAGAGGAAGAGGGTGGGGAGGAGGAGGGGGAGCAGGAGGATGAAAATCATAGGGGGCAGGAGAGGAGGAAGGGCAGAAAGCACAAAAGAGGTAGAGGCAAGGGAAGCAGGAGGGAAGAGGAAGAGGAGGAAGAAGTGGAAGAGGAGGACGAGGATGAGGATGAGGAAGAGGAGGAGGAGGATGTGGAACGGGGGGGGCGGGAGCTTAGGAAGGGCAGAAGGCAGAAGAGAGGGAAAATCAGAGGAAGCAGGGGGGAAGAGGATGAGGAGGAGGAGGAGGGGGAGCAGGAGGATGAAAATCATAGGGGGCAGGAGAGGAGGAAGGGCAGAAAGCATAAAAGAGGCAGAGGCAAGGGAAGCAGGAGGGAAGAGGAAGAGGAGGAAGAAGTGGAAGAGGAGGAAGAGGATGAGGATGAGGATGAGAAGGGGGGGGGCCAGGAGCGAAGGAGGGGCAAAAGACACAAGAGTGGCAAACGCCGGGGAGGCAAGAGGGTCAAGCGATGGGGCGACTAAACAAGGGGGGCAGCAGATGAGGCATGAGTGGAGTTTACAAGGGGGGGCAGCAGGATAGGCATCACACATTTGCGAGGAGACATCAAAACGGAGGTAGAGGCATTGGTGGAGACAGCAAGGGGGGCAGCACGCCAGGCAAGAAAGTAGAGTCAGCATGGGGGGTAGCCCGAGCGGCAAAAGCGTGGAGTCAGCAAGGGGGGCAGCAGTAGAGACAATGTGAGCAGTGTCCAAGGGTGGGCAACCAGCAAGGCAACCAGATAGTGCAAGAGGGTGCAGTAGAAAAGGCATGAGTTGAGAGAGTTGGGGGGGCAGCAGAAAAGGCACGAGCAGATAGAGGGGAGTGCACAAGGGGGGCAGCAGGTTAGGCATGACTGGAGCAAGCAACAGTAAAGGCATGACTGGGGAGCGCCGGGGGCGGAGCAGCAGACGCATGAGAGGGCAGAGCATGCAATGAAGCAGTGGACGCAGGGGCACGCTCGACCTAGAGCACCATAGATGGGGTTCGGTGGAAGACATAGTGTACTGGAGCATGCTAAGCAGGTCGTAGGATGATGCAGCTCAACCTAACTGACTAGGCACAGAGGGTTTAGGATGCTGTTATATGTGCGTTTTTAGGGTGGAATTATCAGCTTTTACCAAAGCTTCTGAACTGTTCATTTTGAATGCAACATTGAGGCAACTTAACATAGTTTTGAATTACATATAAGGTCGTGCAAGTCTCCAACATAAGCTTATTTTAATGAACCCGAAATCCCATAAAGAGTACATTGCAATGAGATCCGATCTTCGAATTTGCTCTGCGGAAACTTGTACCAAACTTCTTCCGAAGGTGTTCACCTGGCAGGTTTGAACAGAAAAGCATTGGAGAAGCATTTAAAAAGCGTTCGAGAAAGCATTTGGAAAGCAACCTATACTTTCTCAAAAAAGCGTTCGAAAAACGTCGTTCAAGAATCATTCGACAAAACTCCAAAGCAACTTTTTTCATCGGTTTTCCGGATGCAGGATTTTTGTGATGTGGACCACGCCATCTCCCCCTCCATCCCTGCTCTCGCAGTCGGGTGGCCCCATGCCCGCTCCCTATGTGGTCACTGCGCCCTCCGCCTCTCCTCAAACAACGCGTTACAGGGCTGGGCAGTGGCAGCAATAGTGGCAGGTGTGGTGAAGAGATATGCCTGTCAATTATGCACCAGTCGCAAAAGGTTCTCCTTGCATGGCAGATAACCACTCTTCTGCCACCACCCTTCCTTCTCTTTCCCCTTCCCTTAACCGAGGGCTGTGGGGTTCCCAGCGCCGTCGCTGTAGCCTCCTCCCCCGCCCCGCGTCCCGCAACTTCTCCGAGCAAGGGGAGGGCGAGAGGGCACGGGAGGTGGCGACCACGGCGAAGAGAAGTGGGGGCGAGAGGGCACGGCGGTGGCTGATGGACGAGCTGGGGGCGCTGGGCGTGGACAGCGGGGAAGAGAAGTGGGGGAGGCGAGGAGTGGGGGTGGGTGAGGTCCGTTCTGTGAGAATGATGGGGAGGGGGAAGGGGAGAGCGCAATGGAGAAGGGTGCGTGGGGCCGGTGTGCACGAGTGAGTGGGCTGGAGAGGCACGTCCATGCTGCTGCTGCAGCTGAAGCTGCTGCTTGTGTGAGCATCGGTGCCTCGCCCCCCCAGCCCAGCTTGCGGCAGCTTTGTCTCCGCGCGGTGGGCAGACAGGCAGCCGGCGCAGTGGAGCGGCAGAGTGAATTGAGGGCAGGCAGAGTGAGGAGCAAGAGGCAGGTAGCGTGGGGTTAGCAGGGAGTTTGGGCGAGGGGAACGCGCATACTGGCGGGCGGCGGCCGTGGTGGTGCGGATGGTGGCAGGCTGTGTCCAGCACGTTGCTTCAATGACCGCCCTCCCTCGCTCTTTGGGTATGCTTTGCACATGCGTGCCCGCTGTGACTGTCCCCCACGACATGCCATCCGACACCACGTCTCTGCTTCTCACATTCGTCCCACCAGCTCCTCGCCTCTCCTCTTTCTCCCCCCGCTGCCCATGCCAGGCCCCTCACCCCAGCCCCTCCTCCGCACGCCTCGCCTTGCCTCCCCTACTCCTCCTCAGCACCAACTCCTCTTCTGAGCGACCCCAAAGGGACGACTTGGGGGCAGCATGGGCGAGAGCAGTTGTGGAAACACAGGCGGAGCAGAGGTGGGAGCATGCGAAGGGGTGGGGAGGGGAAGGGGGGTTTGGGGGACCTTGGGTCAGAACATGGGGGGGAGCATGAGCGGCAGTTTCATTGATACGAACATGAGCGGAGGAGGTGGGATAGCAGGGGCAGGGAGACAAGGTCACCCAAGCATGGAGGGAGTGCGGCGGCCATAAGCAGGAACAGGCAGCATAGGTAGCACACACAGCACGGGCAGCATAGGTAGGAGGAGCGCGAGCATGGATGTGTCACGCCGTTGCTGGTAGTCGATGCCATTCTCACTCACAGACGCCTCCTCCTCCCTGGGCTTCCCGCAGCACCGGCAGCATGGCAGTGCCGCAGTGCCCACAATGGTGGCGGCGGTGGCATGGTGGGCAGCAGTGTGGAGTGCAGTCACAGCATCAGTGTGGTGATGGGGCGGCACAGCCTTGACATCAGCGGCAGCGGCGTGATGCTGCAGAGAACGACTGGGCAGCTGTGGCAGGGTGGAATGGGGACTTTTTCAGGAGACTTACGCGCGTTAAGTAGCACCAAAACATCCCCATCGAACAAAATTAATCACCTCTTTTCCCGGTGTGATGCCATCAGCTACCCGATGTCCCTAGCTCTCCTCTCCCTCATTTCTCCCACTGCCTTCCCCTTCGCACACCGACAGCATTGTACATGGGCATACAAACCGAGTTACGAGATTGATTTTCTTTCGGGACACAACTCGACCAAGTCGAGTTAAGCAAAACTCGCGATTTCAAGTAGATGCGCTCACGGCCACATTTGGCATGGTTGGGGGGGTTGCTGTGGCGGCGGAAGGCATTGGGAAGGTGTGGGGTGAGCAAGGGGGCGACGTGGAGTGGGATAGGGTGGAAGAGGGCATGGTGACTTTACGTCTGTACAGGATTTAGGGTTGCCAGGGCGAGGTGGAAGGGGAGAGGGTTGGGGGGAATGGGGTCTCTCCACAGCAGAGATTGACTTTTGCATGATGACGTAATCCAAAATCTGATTTTTTCGCAAACCGCACCCCATCCCCCTTCTCCATGTACCCACCCCTCCTCCATTGCAACTCGGAAAATTTTGTTACGTCCGAGTCGAACCTGGGCCGTTTCGATATGGGTTCACTCAGGGCACCTAAGTTGCAAAATACGCTCAGGACACTGCGTTTAGCGGATATACGCTAGCGTTTACACGCTAAACGCTAAACGCAAGCTAATACGCTATACGCTTGCCAATTGTTTTTGGGGCAGCCCGACCGAAAAAAATATGAATATACGGAAAGATGCGGAATTGCACGACGAGCATTTTGCCACCGTCAAATTCACGTCCGCGATTTGTGCAAGAGTGAACGGCAATCTCCGCGCTGATCGGCAATTTCCCTTCCCTGCAGATCCGCGCAGATTGAAGGTTCTTCCCGCAGAAGGGATGGGGGGAAAGACTCTCCCTATATCAACGTCTTGTAGATCTGGACTGGAAGTGACGTGACGACTGTACAAATTTCAAATATCAAATTGGTTGGATGAGATAGATGCAATGCGGTGAAGATAGGTGATGGGAGGGGGAATTGGTTGGAGGCAACATTGGCGATGGGTGTGGGGCACGAATTCCAGCATTGGCAATGGTTTCCCTGTCCAGGATCTCTCCTACGCCTCCTCATACACTCTAGCAATCATGCCTTGGGATAGCGAGCCCGAAGCAGAGCAGATTCGCGCAACGCTATTGAAGTCTATAGCCTACGAACTCTGCATCTTAACCCGATTTTGGGCCGAGACAAGGGTGGTTATCTTGGAATGGAGAAAAACTTACCTCTGAAACATAACCCCTTAGATCCCCCCCCCCCCCCCCCCCTATAATAGCCCGGGCGGATTTTTTTCCCTGCCCGGGAAAGTTTTTTTCCTGCCCCAAAAAGCGTATGTCCAAATCGCTCCCTTACGCGTATAGCGTATATACGCTAGCGTATATACGATACGCGTATATACGCTATAAGCGTATTTTGCAACTTAGCAGGGCACAAAGAGGCTGAATTGGCGGAAGGAGCTTTCCCTCCTGGATGATCATGCCATTTGATCCCCCACCTTCGTCCTTTTTCTTCCCCCCCTCTCCTTTCCCTCAACTTCCCTTTCCTTCCCCACTGATCCCCCTCCTTCCTCCCCTCCCATCTTCTCTCTTGTGCACCCATCTCGTATCCTTCTTACCACCCCCTCCCTGTCATTCTCCCTCATGTCTCCCTTCTCATCTCCAAGTCCTCCGCTCACCCCATTCAGCTCCTCCACCCTCCCCGCATGCCGTGTTGCTCATTCGTACAACTACATTGTGCTCTGTACGTCACTTCACTTCATGGCACCCTCGTTCATCTGTCAACCGTTTCTTGCCATTCAACCTGAATATAAACCAATTGTCCATCCCCATCTCACGTCCTCCTCACACCATCACCCTCCCATCTGCATCCCCACAACTCCTGCCAAGCAGCATCACTGTAGCCACAATCTCTCCCTCAGTTAGCTCATACATTCATCATCAAACCCCAGCATCCCCTGCCACCCGGTTGATCTCGTTTTGTTATGCCCTTCACCCTATCATGTCATGCTCCTCGTTACATCACCCCATATGCACGAACCAAGAGTCCCTTTCGGCCCCCCATCATCCTCCTTTACCCACCATTGCCTTCCCATTGCCTCTCACGTCCTCCTCCTCCACTAGCCATCATGTCAGCCCAGTGTTGGGACAGCTTTGGAAGTGCACCTCATTCCTCATCCCATACCTCATCCCATATCTCAAACCTCTCCCATACTTCATCCCATACTGCATCCCATACCTCATCCCACATGCCTCATCCCATACCTCATCCCATACCTCATCCCATCACTCATTCCATGCCTCATCCCATGCCTCATCCCATGCCTCGTCTCGTACCTCATCTCATACCTTATATCTCATCCACCCTATCCTCTCTTCCTGCTGTCAGCAGTTTGATCATAAGATCCCACCATGACCTGCCCTTCATACCATCGCCGAACAAGCGTGGCTGAAGTGGGTTCAGCTTATGCTGTATGTGAACCACATGACCAGCCATGTGTGTGAGTTTGATTCTTATTCATACTGAATAGGCCCAAATCGTGTGTTCTTGTGGGATAAGGTAGTATGGGGGCAGCTGTGCCGTGCACTTCATCCCCCGCCTCATTTCCATACCACATCCATCTACTCTTCAAACGCTTCACATTGTTTATAGTATGCCTGCCCTTCACTCGTGCCCTTCAACTTGGCTAGTTCAAAAACTGTGTGGTCTTCGGTGACACAGTGCAGCACACTACATGAAGAGGGTGAGATGAAATGGAAGTCTTTAATTGCCTGGATCCCAGTCAAATCCCGTCCAGTTGGAAGGAATGGAAGTGTTTATTGCTTCTCTCACTGTGTTTTGCTTGCTGTAATTCACAACAGGTTGCTGAAGGCAGTGGTGACAGAAGCATTGAGAGAAATGGGTGACTTAAGGGCGGCGGGGCCGCGTAGGTAAGGGCGGCGCAACGGGCCGCTAGGGGCGACACGGAGGGTCGCTAAAAAAAAGGAAAACGCGCCTCGCGGCGCGCTTCGGTGGGCCCTAGAAGCAGTCCCTAGGAGGGGACATGCTCTGATTCCATGTGAAAAGAAGAACGCGAATGAGTGAACTAAGAACAAAGTGAGTACATATAGGAAACCCTAATTGGGTTGTACCCCCTATGGGATACCCCACTATAGCCTACATAACAGCATAAGCTATAATGTTATGACAGGTACTACAGTGGTGGCATCCTTGGCTGCCAGCGCCTCTCTGCACAACATGAGGTGGGCACGAGAGAAGGGAGGGTAACGGGGATAGAAGGGCAGATTTGGTTTAAGGAGGGAGGAGTTGCATAGACTGTTTTTGCGGGCCGTTGCTGTAAGGGGAGGAGGAAATATAAAGAGCGGGAAATGGCATTAGCTGTACATCATGTGAGCGCATGCCTGCCTTACACTGCCTTACACTTTCTGCGCAATGAGATGGGCATTTAGATGCAACACACACTGGCAATGAGTAATACTCACCGATGTGCTACGCAATGGCTGGAGAAAAGGTGCTGGGCCATTACACGCACCCGAGCCACCAGTCCGTTGTGCTACCCATCATCGCACCAGCGCCATCCGTGCTAATCCCGGCGACCCTGCTCTTGTCGATTCCAAGAGAGTCAAGGAGGGTCACCAACACGGAAAGCAGAGAAGCGCCATCGCATTTCTCCACCGTCAGTTGACCGATGTACTCCGTGACTGCACGAGATTCACGGAGAAACGTGGCAAACACGATCTGGTGTTTGACATGCACACGATCTGTACTCTCGTCACAGGTTATTCCGATGAATGGACTAGACTGTAACCAGACTTGCTGACGAGCACGGAGATATGCAGCAGTGCTTGCGATGAGCTCGGCAAACCCGTATCTGCATAAATAGGAAAAAGGTACCGAGTATAAAAAACACTGTGCTTGTTGTGAGCAACCTCCGTACTAAGGTTCTCGAGTATAGCAGCTGTTGTTGATCAACGGCTCACCTGGTATAATAAGCACCGTAGCCGTTCTTGGGGAAGCCTGGTGTCTGTCGCTCTGCAAAGTGACGAACCAATTGAACCCACATCTCAATCGGTGCGTCACATTTGCAGATGAACAGCAGGGTCTCTAGCAGAGTGATGACTCTAACGCTGGATGTCTCCAGCCATTGGACAGTCGATGATGCGCTCCTGCTTGTGAGCCGCCTGCTCCGCCATGGCCTGTCTCTCGATGACCGCTCTGTCACCTTTTGTTCTACCGCTTTAATTCACTACAACGAAACAACGAAAATAAGTTCCTACCATTATACGGATATAATCATCTACGGAACCCTTATGCTTGTACATAACTTTCGTGGGTTCGACGATATTATGGATTGGGAGCGAATACTTCTACCAATAAAAAAGCCTAACGTCGAAGATGTCCGGCTACAAGAGCGGGCGACCTACGACAATTGTTCCGGGCAAATACAAACAGTTCTACCGACAAAATATTCTACCACACAGATCTGCGCCTAAATAAGCGACCTAACAAGTGT